AAAGTAGTAAAACCTTTACAAAGTTGGTGTTCTCATGCAGGGAAAAAACAGCAAGCAATGCTTATAATCAGAAGCTCTGGTCTGCTTGGGAAAGAGCATCCAAACTACAAATAGAGAGGCATCGATTTTATTCCAGTCCAGTGGAAGTTATCTATTCAGGAGGAACTAGCAAGAAGTACATTTAAACTGGGCAAATAGTCTAGACACATCACAAGAAATAAAATGAAGTTGTAAGCTAGTTAGACAGTGATGCCTAATTCATTGTAAGCTAGTTAGACAGTGATGCCTAATTCTCCCACCCCACTCGAGCATGAGGAGAGCCAGGCAGTGCCGGCCATGGCAGCCTGGATGCGGCGGGGGGTGGGCAAAAGCCATGAGGCCAGCCATAGCTTGGGGTGGGGTGACAGAGAGGCGAGGCCGGGCCAAAAGCCCAAGTGGGACCAAGACACTTGCATATTTACAAAGGATAGGTACTGCTACCTGGCAGAGGCTCTAAATCACTTACCGCTATTTTCATGGTGGACCTTGTATTCACGTATCTGATCAGAGACATGATGCTTTCCCTTCTAGGTGCCTGACTTGCAGTTTGAATGTGGTCTAGAGAGAGAATAAGCCATTGTGCACAGAGTTCCTAGACAATTAGGAAGAAAGATGTGGTGAAGCAGATCACAAAGCTTTAAGTCTGTATAAATCAATCTGACTAAACCAAAACGTTTTCTGTTCTCATATGTGAAATAGAAACTTGTGCTCCCAGAAAAAGAGTTTAAGCTGTCAGCACTAACAGACTAGCATATCTCTAATTTTTGGAGGCTTCTTATTCAAATGTTAAAAAGAAGCATTAAGTAGTACACTAAAATTTAATAGGAGACATTTGAATGGCGATTCCTGAAATGTTACAGAAAAATGAAATTTACAGACTAAACCTGATAGTCAGAGACACTTTTACAGATTTTGGATGAGCTCCATCTCTGAAGTTTTGAAGCTTGCTAACATACAGATAATGCAAACAATATTGTGAATGAAAAAAAAAAAAAAACAACATATTTATACGTCATCCCTGGAACAAGGTAAACAAATTAAATTTAAACAAGTAGACAATGTTGTTTACCTATCTTAAACTATTTGAATAATTTCTTTGAAAAAGTTTTGTTAGATGAAGATGCAAGACAAGCATGTGTGTAGAATTGTGTATTTGGAAGCTCTCCTAGCAGGTATAGTAATCTCATGCCAGAGTAGTGCTGACAAAAAAAAACCCAAACCTTTAAAGATTAGCATGAATCTATTCCATTCAGATATGGAAATATAACCAACTTCATCATCCTCAAACCAA